TGGATGGATGGATGGATGGATGGATGGATGGATGGATGGATGGATGGATGGATGGATGGATATAGAGATAGATGAATGATTGATTGATTGATTGATTGATAGATAGATAGATAGATAGATAGATAGATAGATAGATAGATAGATAGAAGATAGATGAGAGAGAGAGAGACAGATGACCTTCATTAGTCTTCTCTTCCAGATTATCCCTTGGATCCTTCCAGTTTACTGGATTGTAAACTCTTCAGGGCAGGGACCTCTTGTGCTTGTAAATTATCCTCAACCCAGATGGCATGGCAGGAGTCATGATTTTTCTATTTTTCCTTTTTTGCCTCCTGCCCACTGTCCAGCTGGTTTCTATTAAAATCTGACCTGGGAGGGCTTTCTCTCCTTCTCCCTTGCCAGAGTGGTGCTGTCCGTTTCTGGAAACGTCCCTGCTGGTATTCCAAGCAGGGCTGGGAGCACATTTGATCTCTGTGCAAGTCGCGAGGGGCCAAGGCGACTGTGGGCTGGTGGCGAAGCTTTTTGAGGGGACAACTGGGTGCGCCTGTGGGATTAGAGGCTGTGTCTGCCCGGTTGCCTGAGCGTAATTGTATCTGAGCCTTTACGGAGAGACAGCTGCGTGCAAAGGGGCCGTTCGCCTTCCCCAGCCAAGGCAACGGTTGCCTTAGATGGACAAACACTTGGGTGGGAATGACAGGTGTGAATGTGGAGGGAGCAGCTGGTCAGGTCTAAAATATAAGACTAGACCAGGGCTTCTCAAAACTTGGCCACGGGAAGATGTGCGGACTCCGACTCCCAGAATTCCCCAGCCAGCCATGGGAGTTCTGGGAGTGGAAGTCCACATGTCTTCCCGTGGCCAAGTTTGCCATTTTGAAACCAGCAGATTCACACATGGTTTGTTTTTACTGTGGCCTATGGAATAATAGAATAAACAGGGGTCTCAGGTTGTGCTAAGCCATAAACTCTAAATTACAGACCGGAGTGGCTGTGTTTATCCTCCGTGCTGAGCTCTCAACCTGCTTATCAAGCCATGTTGGGTGGTTCAAATGCACTGAGCTGTAAACTATGGTTAGCATCATGCAATAACTGGATTTACCCAGCATGCAGCACCCAAACCAGGCAAAATGGATTAGAGCAATGTTTCTGAACCTTGGCCACTTTAAGATGTCTGGACTTCAACTCCCAGAATTCCCCAG